CAGCAACCTCCAACTCCTGGGCTCAAGCGAGTCTCCTGCCTCCGCCTCCCAAGTAGCTGGGACTACAGGCGCCCGCCACAACGCCCAGCTATTTTCTGGTTGCAGCCGTCATTGTTGTTTTGACGGGTCCGGGCTGGGGATAGGTTGCACACTCTTTATGAGACTCTAATGATCTGACGTGGAGATGTAATGCACCTGAATCATCCCCTACCCCCACTCCTAGTCCAAGGGAAAATTATGTTCCATGAAACTGGTCCCTGCTGCAAAAAAGGTTGGGGATTGCTGAGTTAACTGGCCCACAGTTGTGTGGCTGGTTAGTGGCTGAACTGGAACTGGAGCTCTGGTTGCCTGCTTTTGAAGCCCATGTGCTCCTTCCTTGGCATGGTGCTGAGTTGTCAGAAAACCAGGTGCCAGGCAAGGGCTTGTGGAGGGGCTGAAATGAAGCCAGGCCAGAAGACAGAGCAGCCAAAATTTGCCCAGCACTGTAGGGGTTTGGGGATCTCTGGCTTCTTTGGAAGCACCTAGGCTGTCCCTCTCATACTTGTCTCACAAGGTGTGATGAGAAAGCTGGGGGTGGGAGAGGATATTCAGTACCACTAGAGCCCATGGGAAGCCCCCTCTCCTCATGCCTGCAGAAACCAGCCTGGACACCAAGTCCATGTCAGAAGGCCACCTCAAGAGGAACATCGTGGTGAAGACTGTGGAGATGCGGGATGGAGAGGTGAGAGGGACTCTGGCCCAGTTGGGCTTTAGCTGCCTCAGGAATTCTCAAGACCAGGCAGCGAAAGAAAGCTTGGAGCTTCCACATAGGTCCCCATTAATTCTTAGGAGCTGCCAGGGGAACTCTGGAAGAGGTGGAAGAAGCTGAATGTAGTTCAGTTTCCCCAGCCCCTCCACAGGCAGTTCTAAGGGGAGCCTGGGCCACTAGGTAGGGCCCTAACTCAAACTCTCAGACTCAGGTACCCTAGCGTCAGGCCTCAGGGATGGAAACAGAGAAAGTTAGCAGATGAGGAAAGGGAGAGCTTTCCCTGCCAGGGGAATGGGAAGAGGGGATTTGGCTTACTCCTTCCTGCCCCCATGATACCAGCAACAGTGACAGCAAACCTTACACCACCATGAGCCAGGCATGGTGCCAAATGCTTTTCCAGTGTTATCTCATCACCTTCCCTGAAGCCTTGGGAAGTAGTGAGTATACAGCCTGGCAAGGTAGACCTGGGGTCTGTGTGCACTCCTAACTGTTGCACTGTGCACCTTCCCCGTGCCCTGCAGGTCATTAAGGAATCCAAGCAGGAGCACAAGGATGTGATGTGAGGCGAGCTCCACCTGGTGGCCTCCACCCCACTGCACGAGGAGCCTGTGGCAGAAGCAGGAGAGTCTCCCCACTTCTGATAGCTCATTTCCCCAGACTTGAGCTCCCACCCACCCTCCATCCTTATCCAGCTTGCTGCCCTAGGCTCCATCAGCATTAGGCCCGCCAGCAGCACCCTTCTCGCACCCAGCAGCTCCAACTAACAGGGCACATACCCCAGAGGGGAAGTGTGGAGGGGCATGGCCAGCAGCTTGGATGAGGACGTGGAAGAGGAGACACAGGGTACCCAATAAATCATCTTCCATATCCTGGATCCCTGTTGTTATGGCAACTGTTGCCAGAGCTTGAGCTCTCAGGAGTATCTGGGAACTGGGCTTTGAGTTTCCTTGGGAAACTGAAACTCAAAATAGAAGAGGGAAGTCCCCACAGGCAAAGCTGCCCTAGCCAGAGGCTTGTTCTTCTAGACTGACCCTGACCACTCTAAGAGTGGGTGGTGAAGTCCTACTGAGATCCCAGAGGGGCCTCCTGAGTGACAATTCAAGTGTCTCAGTCTCACTGAGCTGTCATCCAGGTCCCTAGTCTGTGGGCATGCTGGGGGCATGTGGTCACATGATTCTCAGCACTTGGGAGATCTAAGTGTATGTGGAGAGGGAAGGAATGCTGGAAGGGATAGAGAGGTGTGAGTGCAGAGAGGTCAAGCCCTGGAGGATTCCCCTATGCAGGCTGGAGGGAGCTGTCGCAAAGATGGTGGAGGCAGCGGTTGGGATGGTGCTAGACATCAGAGTTGGGGGTTGTGAGTGACCAGTTACACTTGGCCTCTGGGTTGTGGGAATCAAGGAAGTGACTCATCTTCTTGAAGATACTGAAACAGGAGAGAAAGGAGCTGCTGTCCACAGGTGCAGGGCACAACCCTGTTCAAGTTCTAAAGGCCTCTTCCTTGCTGTACAAACCCAGACCTCCGAGCCCCAGGGCTGCTGCTTCCTGACCCCCTCTCCATAATGACCAACTGCTTTTCCCTAACCCAAGGGCCTCTGAGATCCTTTCTTACTCACACATACTAGTACCCAGTATTTTAAGCAGCAGGAAATTGAGGCATAAACAGAGTGAAGACATGGGCTTGTGTTCCTGTGGCCTGGAGGCCAGGCACTCAGGGCTGAGGCTTCCACCCTAGAGCTCCCCTCTGCTTTCCCCAAGCAGACTTGTGGGAACATGGCAGATATCCGTGCCCCTAAATGGAGCCAATAGGGTCCACTCTAGTACCATCCTCTCCCCTCTAAGGTTGAAAAGAGAGAGGCATGGGGGGGGCCTCCCTCTTCCCAAGACTTGGTACCCTTTCTCAGACTCCTTCCTGCCCCCTGCTGTTAACCTTAAGGGCACTGCTGCTGCTGCCTTTAGTCACTGAGGAAAAATAAAGACAAATGCTGTGACCTTCCCCAGAATGGACTCTGATCTGTTCACAAGAGGGTGGGATGTGGGGCGGCACCCCTAGCTTAGTGAGTAGGGCGCCAGCCACATACACGAAGGTTGGCAGGTTCGAACCCAGCACAGGCCAGCTAAACAAACAAACAAAAACAATGACAACTGCAACAAAAAAATAGCCAGGCATTGTGGTGGGCTCCTGTAGTGCCAGCTGTTTGGGAAGGTAAGGCAAGAGAATTGCTTAAGCCCAAGACTTTGAGGTTGCTGTGAGTTACGATGCCACAGCACTCTATGCAGGGTGACAGCCTGAGACTGTCTCAAAAAAAAGAGGGTGGGACATGGCCAAGACATGGCTGTGGACAAAACCAACTTGCTTCTTACTCCTGACCATCTTCAGGACCCAACCTTCATGGCAGCAGCCACATGTCAAGTCCCACCCAACACTGCTCTGCTTCAGTTGAGCCTGTGCCTGATAGCCCCCAGCCTCTGCTCCCACCTCTCTTGTCACCCCTAGTCCGCAGCTTGGGCACAGCCTCTCTGGAAAGGCCTGAGTTGGACCTCTGTTTTCCTCACTCATTTCCCTTGTTCTTGTTTTCACCTTTATTCCCAAACCTGTTATTTCTACCTGCCAGTCCCAAAACAAGGCTGGGGGAGGGGGAAGCCAAAGAGGACACACATTAGCTCCCTCCACTCTTTCCTTCCCTCCTCTCCCCGCTACCTTCAGTTTCACCCAAAAGAAATCCTCAAAAGGAATTCTCAAAGCCAAAGGGTAAAGTGCCTCAAATGCTATTCAACACTGAATAGGCCACCTGAGCAAGCTCACTTCTCTCCTTCTTTCTTGACCCGAGTGTACCACTCAAGACACATTCACTCTATTCCATCCATTCCATCCTGACCTTGCTCCCCAATCTCCCACCTGCTACAGGATTCTTCACATCCTAGATCAGCCCCCAGACCCACCCATGAAAATGGGAGCAGGATATAACCAACAGATGTGTCCATTACCACCTCGTTCCAGCCCAGTGTGCCCACTCAAAGGCATCTGTTTTCATTAACACACACATTGAATCACAACTGGTCTTCAGAGCTGGGCAAGAGAGGGCCTAGTAGGAGAAGTAGGGACACAAGCGAAATAAGTAACAGCAGCAATGACAGAGGTGAATGGTGACAAAGACTGCTATGATGAACAGGTATCCTATCAAGGTGAGCTCCACAGCAGAGCGAGTCTCAGGGTCTGAGAATGAGACTGGGTAGAGCCCTCGAGATGTCACAGCCAGACGGAAACCAGCGACCTGCACTCCCTGCCGCCAGCAATAGTAGATGCCCCGGTCATCCAGCTGGGTGAAGCGGATGTGGAGCTGGTTGCCATGGTCGATAAACACCCTCATGGACCTGTTGACTCCCTTCAAGTACTGTGTACGGTAGAGGTGCTGGTGGTCCTTGTCCCAGGCCACAGCATGCTCTGGCCGGGCCCCAGGACAGGAGATAATGAGTCCGTGGCCCAGTCTCTGCTGGTGGAACTGAATGGGCACCTGGGGCACCCAAGGCTGGCTACCCACTCTTGACACATAGCTGAAGATGGCCAGCACACCCTTCTGGATCTTCTCCTTCTTCCGACAGGGTACTACACAGCTCCGCACCAGCAGCTCGGGAGTGTGGTGTCTGACCTCGGTTCGCAGCTTGCTCGACACAGCCTGAGAGCCACAGGACACCACGTCAGGCACTGTCTTGCGGTAGCGTGGGGATAGGTCTGGGCTCTGCAGGTAGCAGAGGCCAAAGCGCCACTGCTCCCCACGCACCCCACAGCGGTCACAGGGAGTCCACTCCCAAAAGGTGGTGAAGATGTGGAGCTTCCCAGAGAACTCGTCTGCAACGGGCTTCTGGCCCTGGTCCTGGAAGGTGGCCAGCATTCCCTCACTGCTCTGGATGTCTACATCATAGGCGTAAAAGTACTCCCCTTTGCGGGTGCCGCAGAAGTATAGACCTGAGTCCTCGGGCTGGGCCCGGAAAACTAGCAGGCTAAACATGCGGATACTGAAGCGGACCAGCATGTCGCTGCCCACGCGCACCTGAGCTGCCTCTGTCAGCACTCGCCCATCGAAGTCGGTCAGCACCTTGGTGTGGCTGCTGCCTAGATGCTTTTGGTAGAACCAGACTACAGCTGGCACCTCCTCAGGCTTGCAGTGGCAGGGGAGCTCAAAGCTCATGTCAGCCAGGTAGGCTGCATTGTCAAACATCAGGTAAGCGGGGCAGGGGGTCTTTTGAAAAATGTTCTCCTTCTCTACAATTTCAAAGGCATGGAGACTCCCCCATGCCCACAGGAGCACAGTGGTGTGGGCCAGGCTCATGCCTGCAGGGAGGGAAGGTCAGAAAGTGGGGTAAAACCTGGCACTAAACGATCTATGAGGCTTCTAGAAATCACTGCTGAGGGGGAGCCTCCATATGAGGAGAGGATTAAGCATCCAGGAAAAAAAGCAGTGATCTGCAGGGGAAGCAGCCAAATGCAAGGCAATTTATTCCCCGGAGATGTACAAGATGCCCTTCTAATATTCCAGACCTGATCTCAAGGGAAAATCATTCTAGAACCTGATTCTCACTCCCCTTTCTAGAACACTGGCACTTAACCAAGAATGGAAAACTAGAATGAGAAGGGTGGGCCCAGGTGCTCTGAAGGGAGCTCTCTGCCTCACTGCTCCAGGTCCTGCTCTGCTGGCCTGGTGAAAAAGGCTTTTCTTTCATCAATCTAGGAGATTAAGGAAACCCACCTTCCTGCTCATCTGGCCATCCAGGAGGCCAGCCAGACCCAAGTTGATGGCTTAGCACTTTGCAGGCCTAACCTCCACAAGAACTCAGACCCTAAAGGAAGATTCTGTACCTCAAATAGGGGAACATTTAATCATTTGTTGATTAAATGTCCATTTATTGGTTTGGGGTTATAATTTTTTTTTTGGACAGTCTCACTCTGTTGACCTGTGTAGAGTGCAATGGCATCATAGCTCACAGCAACTCAGCCTTGAGCTCAAGCAATCCTCTTGCCTCAGCCTCTCAAGTAGCTGAGACTACAGGTTCCCACCATAACACCTGGCTAGTTTTTCTATTTTTAGTAGAGACAGGGTCTTACTCTTGCTCAGGCTGGGCTTGAACTCCTGAGCTCAAGCGATCCACCCACCTCAGCCTCCCAAAGTGCTAGGATTACAGGCATTAGCCACTGAGCCCAACCTATAAATATTCTTGTTAAGAGTTGTGGAAGCCAGGCATAGTGGCTCTCACCTATAATCCCAGTACTCTGGAAGGCAGAGGCCAGGAGTTCAAGACCACTCTGGGCAACATAGTAAGACCCCATCATCTATAAAATAATAAAAAAAAATTTAGGTGTGGTGGTGCGTACCTATAGTCTCAGCTACTTGGGAGGCTGAGGAAGGAGGATCACTTGAGCTCAGGTCTTTTTGAGCTATGATCATGCCATTGCATTCTAGCTTGGGTGGTAGGGTGAGACCATATCTCAGAAAAAAAAAAAAAGAAAAAGAAAAAAGAGCTATGGCGAACAGTGTTTATTTAAGGAAGATGAATGATTTTGTTCTTTCTTTTCTCTGAATGGAGATTATAACTGGTATAGCCAGCATTTGATTGGACACACATCCATTTCACAGGGCCAGTGGGCTAGAGGCTTGATGGACTCTAGGATTGAGAAACAAAATGGCTTTCAGCTTCCTGGGCCCTTGACTGTCCTGTGGATACATATAGTTTAAAATGTTGAGACACTGAGGGACTGGAGAAGTGAGGAAGACTCAATTCCTCCTTTTGCTCTGAAAATTCTAAGGTGAGAAGGGAATTAAATGTGGGTTTCTCCTTATAGTACTGCAAAATCCCCAAGACCACAACTTAAAAAAAATGTCTCCAATGACTCCTGAGGTCTCTGACGGTAGCTGGTCCTATCAATCGACCTGGTATAGCCATAGCAACTCCTGCAAGAGGCTGTCCTCCTCTTGGGCCCCAGCAGACTGCTCCTCTAGACTCTGCTCCTCCTGGCTCGGCCCCTCCTTCATGGCTTGCAGCTTCTGAAACAAGTCTCTGCAGCTCTCTCTTTCTGCCTGGCTCAGTAGGCTCAGGTTCAGGGTGAAGCGCCCAGTGCTGGCCAGGCTGCTCAGGATCTCTAGCACTGCTGCCCGGTGGGCTGGCCTCACATGATTGGCCAGCGCCACCAGGAGCTCCCCCAGAAGCCCAAATCCCACATCTGTCTGGAAGAGGCGGCCCAGCTTCGGACCTCCAAGCTGCAGCAGGACCTGGTAGCGCTCTGGCCCACTCCGCAAATGTCGCCGCCAATCTCGGTAGAACTCTGCTGAGGTCTCAGGCTGGCAGTGTGTTTCCTCCTAGATCACAAAGGAGAGGAAAAGAGTCCTGAGCTCTTACAGCAGTTCTGTGACAGTGAGAATGAGGGGAGCCTGTAGGTTTTCATCTTAGCTCTGGTACTACTCTCTAGCACTACGAAGGCTATGGTCCTTGGGGAGCCTCATTTTCAGGTGAGGGAAATGGGGATGGAGGAAGGGCAAGGGCAAGGAATCCAGGCCATGATTTGAAATTCTCATTTATGCTGGAATTTTCCTATTAATGAGTGGGGACACAGCTCTGGTCTTTAAGAGTAAGTTAAGATTTACTCTGAGTTGTGGGGAGGGATTGATTATCAATCTTAGTAAGAAAGGAGCTAAATGTGAGTGTCAAGAATCTGACAGGCTGGGTCTCTTTCTTAACACCGTAACAGATCATTATACTATAAGTTATATAACCCAGAAGCAGAGCAATCCAAATATGATCTGAGAATAAAAGTCAAAGTACTGATTGAAGGGGACCTGCCTAGCCCGCCCTTTTTACTCATTCTGCCCAGCTCAGCTCAGTCTCACCATCTGCTGATTGCCTTTTTTTATGGGATTGGAGGCAGAAATCTGTCTTAGTTGGCTCAACAGAGGTGTGTGTATGAGAAGACAGGATTGAAGCTTTAGGGCAGAGAATCCTGATGGGCTAAAGAGGCTGGGTCTCAACTACCTGGGAGATTTCACAGGCCATATCCTGGAAAGTCCTTTCCTGAGTACTGTGACAGTTCCAGGACATGCTTCTCTTCCCTCCCATCTTGTCTTTCTGCTCCAGTGGCTTCAGATGTGATGCAAGGACAATACCCCTGTGAACAAAGGACAAAGATTAGGGGATGGACTTAACACTGTGTCTGTGGGTGTGAGGCAGCTGGTATTTGCATGACATAGGCTGAACCTGTTGAGAAGCTCATACAACGATAAAAACAATAACAACAGCAGGCTCGGCGCCTGTGGCTCAAGCGGCTAAGGCGCCAGCCACATACACCTAAGGTTGCAGGTTCGAATCCCCAGCCCGGGCCCGCCAAACAACAATGATGGCTGCAACCAAAAAATGGCCGGGCGTCGTGGCGGGCGCCTGTAG